GGCCTCTCCCTGGCTGCGACCTTCGGGCACCGCACCGGACGGCGCGGCATGGCTGGGCTCCGTGTCCGGCAGTGAATTCCCAAGCTTGGGACCTTTTGTACCGGGAACAGAGGAATTAAAGGCGTCTCTGGAGCACAGGGGAGCGGGCAGAGCCCCTTTAATGCTTCTGATCCCTCTTAATTCCCCCGAGCGCCCGGGCTTTGCTGCACACGAAAGCAGCCAGCAGAACGGCTCGGCAATAAACCCCAGCAACACACGCCCTCTTCCGAATCGCCCTGATTTTCTTCTCACATAATTAGTTCGGGGTGTTTCTTTCGATGGAGGAATTATGCCGGGATGAAGCCAGGTGCCCGGGCAGCCCCGGTGAGGATGTGCCCGTCGGCCGCCCCAGACCCCAGGTTGCATCTCCTGGATCTTGCCGACCTCTTGTGGCCCACAGCGCTCAAAGCAGAGCAATGGGAAACCTGGGCAAACCCCAAGCTCGCAGCCAAACCCCGCTGGAAGCTCAGCCGGATGGGATGTGGGAAATTTTAAACTCGGCTGAGTCGGGGCTTAGGAGGGTTTTGGTGATTTCATTGTCATCAGGACAACGGGAAGAGTTTCTCAGCTGAAGGTGACCCGCGGGGATTTGCCTGGTTGGAAGCCCAGCATCAAAACTATTTTGGGCACGAATGCGCTTCGTGACTCTGCTAAAATGACAACAAACCACAAGTGCAACGGCGCGGCGGCGCCCTGCAGCAGGAAGCGGGCCCTCAGAGTTAAACCCGGGCTGGAAATCTCACCAGAGCGACTTTTTACGGAGCCTTCAAACCCAACACTAGTTCTTTCCTTGCAGAAGCATCCGTCAAAAGCCGGTGTTTATTTATAGGCATCACTTGAAGCCAAGTAATGCTACAGCCAGCCTGGGAGGGGGATTAGCCACCGGGACGTTCTGGTCCAAACCAAGAGAAACAGAAAAAAAAAAGGATTAAGCATGAAAGAGTCGTTGTCATTTGTGTCACTGCATTCTAAAGAGCTGCCAGCAGTGAGAAAATAACTTGGGCCCGAGCCTTAAGGAGACGTTGGGGTACGGATGGGGCGGCCCAGGGAAGGGGCCCTGAGGCGGCTGTTAGTCCCCTGGACACCGGTATGGGGACGGGGGGAGCCAACCCGTCCCTCGGGAAGCTCGGCTGGGCCCAAGGGTTTTGCATTTTGCAGAACAGGAAAGGCTGAGAGCACACATCTGGAATCTGGGGCAGACTGGGTCAAACACAGACCTGAACAGCAATGCCCACGCAATCTATGGGCCCTTCAGCGCGTGTCAGCAGGGGTCCCCGAACACCTTCCAGCTCCTGAACCAACGTTTTGTTACGCACATAAAAAAACTGGCTACGAGCTGGGGAAAAGCCAGTTTGGTCTCTTTTGGCTCATTTCAAGCTCTGCCTCCTTCGAGAGCTAACCAGCACGAGGTCAGAAGCAGCATCAGCCACCCTGATCTCACCTTAACTGGTCCTCAGCGGAGCTCCCTGTGAGCTCTTGCCGCCCCTCCCCGCCTCCCAGGCATCACTTTGCTCGCCCTGAAGCACCGTGGGCACCGGTAGCCCCAGTGGGGATAAATCCGGCTGCTCCCAAGAGCTGGAAAACAAAACCAGTTGCTCTGCCAGGCTCCTTGCCCGGTGTCCCCGGCCCTGCCACCGCTGCCGCACAGAGGCTCGCCCAGCCTAAGGGCTCTGAGCCCAGCACCCGGAGAGCAGCTTCCCCTCCGTGGGGAGAAGAGAGGCCACCGGACCATTTCCTATGGGATTTCTAAGGAAAACAATAATCCACAAAGTCAGCTCGGACAATTGCTGCCCCCATCTACCGGCAGGAGAGCGGAGCATCCCTGCCACGCTGCTGCAAGAGCCGCCTTCTGCTCTCAGCCCTCCCCAACGCTGCTATTAATTGCATCAAAACATGCATGGCTTTTATGTAAAGGAGAAATTAAAACCTAAGCCAGCTTTATTTAGTGAATAGAGGTCTGGGATGGGACTTCTCGCCACCGGCCTCTGGGGGCTGTTGGGCAAATCATGTCCTTTCCCCTTACGATACTGAAAAGGGAGATGCCAGCGTTAGGAGCGACTCAATAAATGGGCACCGTCCTCTCCAGCTGCAGCCGAGCAGGCTGAGCTGTGGGGTCTGGCAGCAGCCACCTCAAACCCTGCCCCTGCCCCGTGCAGGCGGGGAGCAGAGGGGAGGAAGGAATACTCGGCCATTCCCCCAGCCCTGAATTTCCCCGTAGGAGCCGGCGGTGCCCGGCATGCCGTTGGCGGCGTGGGATGGAGCAGCCGGCTCCATCCGGGGTAGGAAGAAATTAAATCCCTGCAGGACCGTGTCACCGCTCCCAGCAGAGCTATTTCTGTGCGGAGATGACTCACCCGGCGGCTGCTTCCCGGGAGCGCGTCCGTCCACCTTCTGCAAAAAAGGGACTCCCTCCAAAATAAAAGAAAAGTGGCCGCACTTCCTAACATTATGCAAAGCCTGAATGTTGAAACAGAAAATAAAACAGATATTTGCTTGTTAATTGTGTCAAATATAAAGGGTTAAACAAACCGGGTTGGGGACGAGGGTCAAACTACGCTGCATAAATAAAAGCGGCGAGCTGCTGGGCTCACCTTGAGAATGATTTCCCGGGGCAGTTTATCCCCCAAAGCTCGACGCTTTCTCCCCCTCTGGCGATACCTCCAGCCACCCTCGGGATCCTTCCGCCCAGAAGAGGCCCGGGGAGGAACGGCGGGAGCCCCAGCAACATCCACCACCCTCCTTATCTCCGCAGATCGGCTCTTGCCGCTCCTCCCAGGGGACCTCTGCCCCCTGCGACTTTGGCCTTAATCCCGTAGCGGGTTCAGGGCAGGACGAGCTGCAGAGAGGAGCAGTGCTGCGCTATGCACCCGCCCTCCGCCACAGGATCAGGCCCTGCGTGGGCCCCTGGCACTTCCAAGCGAGCATGGACGGGGATCAGCATCCGATTTTGGAGCTGGGAACTGCCGAGCCTTGAAAGCGAGGGGGCATGGGGGCATTTCCCAGTTCCAGGAACAGTCCCTGGTTTTATTCCCCTGGCATACTCTGCTCTTGCCCGTTTTTAGCATTTTTAACCTTAAAAAAACATTTGAAGCTTCTGGTGCATCCAACACTTCTGGTGTTTTTTTAATTTTAGCTCGAGACCCAACCGCCCGCCTTTGGCGAATGTGCTCGCCCCCCCCCAGGGCAGTGTTAAGGGCAAAGCAGAGGACAGAGTCCTGCTGCCCCAAAAGCGAAGAAGGGGGGAACCTCCCCCTCCGGCACAGACATCGGCACCGTCAGGGACGTCATGGGGATCGTGAGACAATTTCACCCCTCCTGGAATAAAACCCGACCCGCTCCCATCGCCGGCCAGCTACACAGCTCCCGCAGAAGCAAACGAGCACATTAATAACAGCAGAGCTGGGAGGGGGTCTCAGCCAGCCCCCACCCCCTCCATGAGCTGCGGTGCCACCTCGCCCCTTCCTCTGCCCCCCGGCTCCCGCTTCACCCCAAATGCCCCGGGCAGGGGGAAGGGGAGCGGGAACACCCTGCCCGGGCTCGCCCTCGCCGCCGCCGCCCGGTCACCTCGGGTTATGGGGATGTTCCATTTTTTATGGTGTTTATTT